CTCTCAGCTGGTGTGTTTACACACCTAATGGCCCATCAGCCACAGGCTCTTCCCCCCCCCTGATCTTCTTTTCCAACAGTTAAGTTAACTGTAGGTTACTCTGAGTGACAAGCTTACAGTTAGTGAAGTAACACTTTTTTTTTGTGAGTCACGACCTGGCTGCTTCATTCTAACATAACGCTCCAAATATGACTGTTTCCACTCGGACTTCAATACAGCAACACCATTGTTTGGTTTCCATGGTAGCGTGTCTCTTTAGTAGCGTGCACTCCTTTCCTGTAAATTACAGGTCCAGCCAGGCAAAACAGTGCACTTCTCTTTCCCGCACTACTGTGACAGACCATGGGGCTGGGTCAGCCACTAACATATTCATATTTCTCTTCTCAAAAAGAGAAATATAAACGTTAGTTTTGAACTGAAATGATCAAATAAAGTCAAAATGTCACAGTGTTTACAAACATTGACCATACCGTTCACCAGCCCCCACCCCCCTATGTTGCATGCAGCCGGCTCTCCCGATTTTTAATCCTAATTTAATCATCATTTTCACTACGATCATTTATGTTTATGTTCGCCAAATTGACATGAAATCACTGACAAATATGAATATTCTGTATTCAACTTCATTGAAACGATCAGGATGGGTGTTATTTTTCCCCACAATGACCAAGTCAAATTATCCCGTTATTACATGGCCACATTCTCAACAAAGTAACGACATGACTCCCATTCTTAATTGAAATGCTTTTATGGATTTAGAAAATGTTTTTATTGATGTAAACCTTTTCTCCTCCTTATCTCTTTCATTACTTTTTATTTAATGCTTTATAACAGCTGTAATAGTTCGTTAGAAATCCTCCGCAGCGCACGCCCACCTCCCTCGGCTGAAATTATGAATGTACAGTAAGGCATATAGTAATCATAGATAACACGGCAGGGTCCGTTACAGTTTGTTTTCATCTGATTTCAAATAAACAAAGTCGTGGCTTTCAGAATATTAACTTGTTTCGGGCAAATGTAGATGATAATACAACTATGAAGCTTGTAACGGCATAATTACTTAAGCGGAGAACGGGAGTAATTTAACGTTACAGCAGGCATAACAACAGCCGGTGTTTATTTTATTATTAATATAGTCGTTATTCATTTGTTTTAAAGCTCAATAAGGAAGATTTAAACTTTCACACACGTTGACCGGGTGAAAAACTCTGCCCGGTTCCCTCGGCCCCCACCACATTGAATATAAACAGAAGAATTACAGTGAATTAAGGTGACTGAGGCTTTTTAACATAGACTTTTTCAGTGTCCCACATACCCACATACCGTTTCACCATCCCCCACCCCCCTACTGTATGTTGATTTTTGACTGTTTGCCTACATGTAAATGGGTGGCATTAGTACCTACCCCCCTCTGAGTGAATACCTGTTTGTACCTGTCCGGGGCTAAGCCCATAGGACGATGCTCTGATGTCATCACCCTCGCACATTTGTCATATGTTTACAAAAAAACGATGTTAACACTTTCTCGATCTTAATATATGCTATATTTAGGGTCGATATGTGTTGAATTTACTTTAAATAGCAGATCACTGTGACCGGATATAGTTTTTTCGGCTTAGTGAACGTGTGTTCCTTCCCCCCCGTTGACAATTCACGAGCGTCTAACAGAGCCCCCCCCCCCCCCCGTCGCACCTTCTAACAGAGCCCCCACACATATCAAATTCCAATTTAAACCCCTGGCCTCTGGAGCAGAAATGAAAGAGTTTTAAAAATGTTTACGTTTTGGTGAGTTTTTAGGGAAATGTTGTAATATTGCAACGTTTAGGTGGGAGCAGAATTTCTGTATTTCTACTCACATTGTCTGAATAAATATATTGAACAACTAAGGGTTAATTTGCAGGATTGATTGCTTACTTAGCCCTATATCAGTATATAGCATGAATAATAATCACACATCACTCATATTTGTTATGAATAATCATTTATTAAATAGTAAGTCGCTTTGGATAAAAGCGTCAGCTAAATGCAATTTATGAAAGCCTCACTCAGGATTTTTTTACCAAGTGTAAAGTTATTTAATATATAAAGACTATATATTATTGAATTACAAGATTAGATATACTTTATTTGATCTAAAATATTGATGTGTTCAAATGCTCTTCTAAACAAAACTGTTTCTGTGAAGGAAGCGCCATCTCCTGGTTAAATCCTGAAATTGAAAATCTGGCAACGCCCTCTTGGAAAATAGTGGGAGGGCTTAACATTCCCAGATACTGGTCTTTGGCAGGTCTTAGGCAGGTAACTGGCAGGTAGCAGGCAGGAAGCTGTAAGCTGGAGTCTGAAATAAGATGCTCCATCCATTTTTCGCTCGTTGCTAATTCAGAGGCTCAGTGTTAGCATTGTGGGTTTTCATCTAAAAATGATCAGTTAGATGAGTTTCTTCCCGTTACATGGATATAAACATTCATAGTTTTATTAAATGAACATGCCCTCAGACACTGTTTCCTGCAAGATGTTGCGGCAGTGCCCCGGGACCGGGGTCTCTCGGGCTTAACAGGTTAAGGAAGAAAATAATCAAAATGTGATTGTTTTTCTTTATGCATCGATGACGTCATGTTACGTGACGCAGCGTCATTGGATCTATATCAGGAGAACCTGACCCTCCTGTGATGTGTTTCCTGCAGAATATAACCTGTGATGTGTTTCCTGTAGAATATAACCTGTGATGTGTTTCCTGTAGAATATAACATGTGATGTGTTTCCTGTAGAATATAACCTGTGATGTGTTTCCTGTAGAATATAACCTGTGATGTGTTTCCTGTAGAATATAACCTGTGATGTGTTTCCTGTAGAATTAACATGTGATGTGTTTCCTGTAGAATATAACCTGTGATGTGTTTCCTGTAGAATATAACCTGTGATGTGTTTCCTGTAGAATATAACCTGTGATGTGTTTCCTGTAGAATATAACCTGTGATGTGTTTCCAGTAGAATATAACCTGTGATGTGTTTCCTGTAGAATATAACCTGTGATGTGTTTCCTGTAGAATATAACATGTGATGTGTTTCCTGTAGAATATAACATGTGATGTGTTTCCAGTAGAATATAACCTGTGATGTGTTTCCTGTAGAATATAACCTGTGATGTGTTTCCAGTAGAATATAACCTGTGATGTGTTTCCTGTAGAATATAACCTGTGATGTGTTTCCTGTAGAATATAACATGTGATGTGTTTCCTGTAGAATATAACATGTGATGTGTTTCCAGTAGAATATAACCTGTGATGTGTTTCCTGTAGAATATAACCTGTGATGGTTTTTGCCTATAGAATATACCTGTGATGTGTTCCTGTAGAATATAACATGTGATGTGTTTCCTGTAGAATATAACCTGTGATGTGTTTCCTGTAGAATATAACCTGTGATGTGTTTCCTGTAGAATATAACCTGTGATGTGTTTCCTGTAGAATATAACATGTGATGTGTTTCCTGTAGAATATAACCTGTGATGTGTTTCCTGTAGAATATAACCTGTGATGTGTTTCCTGTAGAATATAACATGTGATGTGTTTCCAGTAGAATATAACCTGTGATGTGTTTCCTGTAGAATATAACCTGTGATGTGTTTCCTGCAGAATATAACCTGTGATGTGTTTCCTGTAGAATATAACCTGTGATGTGTTTCCTGTATAATATAACCTGTGATGTGTTTCCAGTAGAATATAACTTGTTATGTGTTTCCTGTAGAATATAACATGTGATGTGTTTCCTGTAGAATATAACCTGTGATGTGTTTCCTGTAGAATATAACCTGTGATGTGTTTCCTGTAGAATATAACATGTGATGTGTTTCCTGTAGAATATAACCTGTGATGTTTCCTGTAGAATATAACCTGTGATGTTTCCAGTAGAATATAACATGTGATGTGTTTCCGTAGAATATAACCTGTGATGTGTTTCCTGTAGAATATAACCTGTGATGTGTTTCCTGTAGAATATAACTGTGATGTGTTTCCTGTAGAATATAACCTGTGATGTGTTTCCTGTAGAATATAACCTGTGATGTGTTTCCAGTAGAATAACATGTGATGTGTTTCCTGTAGAATATAACCTGTGATGTGTTTCCAGTAGAATATAACCTGTGATGTGTTTCCTGTAGAATATAACCTGTGATGTTTCCTGTAGAATATAACATGTGATGTGTTTCCTGTAGAATATAACCTGTGATGTGTTTCCTGTAGAATATAACCTGTGATGTGTTTCCTGTAGAATATAACCTGTGATGTGTTTCCTGTAGAATATAACCTGTGATGTGTTTCCAGTAGAATATAACCTGTGATGTGTTTCCTGTAGAATATAACATGTGATGTGTTTTCCTGCAGAATATAACCTGTGATGTGTTTCCTGGTAGAATATAACCCTGTTATGTGTTTCCGTAGAATATAACATGTGATGTGTTTCCTGTAGAATATAACCTGTGATGTGGTTTCCTGTAGGATATACCGTGATGTGTTTCCTGCCAGAATAAAGCTCCAGCAGCAGAAGACAGACCCCCCCCCCCCCCCCCCCCCCCCCCGCCTCACTTCTGTGTTTTCTCTGCACTAAGAGAGATGAATGTGCTGCTGCTCCGACAAAGCAGCGCTCACTGAGAATAACACAGAGTGTGTTTACAGCCAACAGGGAGGAGGGGGACGACGACAAAGAGACAACAGCACTGTCCCGTCTCTTATAGCAAGGTGCAGGAATGAGTCTCTAAGCAGGACCATGACTCAGCATTTATCACGCTGATCTGTTCCAGAAGACTTTGATTCCTGATGTTTGTTTTTACAAACATTACATCCAGATATCTCGTGGGTCGAGCCGTACAAATACGTGTTTTACCGACACAATTACTGCATTTATAATCTATGGATCCACAAGAGTTAACATTTAAAATATATCCAATGAAGAATATTTAAAATATTTTTGCAAATATTTATACATTTTCAGGTGATATTTACCGAGCAGCAGCGCTTCCTTCTCCGAGGCGACCCCCCCTCTCAGCACCTCCCTCCTCCTCTCTCTGCTCAGGAACAGGAGGGTACTCCCCCGTTCACCTGGAAACACACACACACACACACCACACACACACACACACACACATCACACACCACATAACACACACATACACACACTACACACACACACACACACACACACACACACACACAGTGTGAGGACAGTAAAACATGTTTTTATGAATCTGGGTCTTTCTGAGAGATAATACTTTACAGATCAGGGGGTTCGTGTGTGTGTGTGTGTGTGTGTGTGTGTGTGTGTGTGTGTGTGTGTGTGTGTGTGTGTGTGTGTGTGTGTGTCTAATAATATTAATAATATTAGGAAACTTTATATTCTTCAAAATATTATTTGCGCTGTTTTGTGAAATAAAGAATACATTTGGAAACCATTTTTTTGCAGTTTACTGGAATCTGTTTATCTCAAGAAAAACACAAATACACCTTTAATATGTTATTCCGAGGTGTACGAGTCAATCTGTATGGATAGGTACTCTGTAGACATGTTTTTATTATACATTGAAACAGAAATAAAATACATTTTCTCGATTAAAATCTGCTCTGCTGTGTTTACCTTGTGCAGCTCTGCGTCGGGACCCTCCGTCTCCCCATTACACAGCTGCAGACACACACACACACACACACACACACACACACACACACACACACACACACACACACACACACACACACACACACACAACACACCCACACACACACACACACACACACACAGATAACAGGTCAGAGGCAGCAGAACAAAGCTGGCTGCAGCAGAGGAGCGCTTGTTTTCTCTGCTGTTGTTTTATAGATGTCTGTTAGAGGAGTCAATACAACACTGCAGGGTGTGTGTGTGTGTGTGTGTGTGTGTGTGTGTGTGTGTGTGGGTTACATGTGTTCACAGGAGGACCACTGAGCTGATGAATCATTAAACATGACATCAGTAACATGCATGATGAATGAAAATCACTAAACACACTGTGAGGAGACGAGAGGAAAACATCCCCGATTCATTCTCTACAATATTTCAGTTCAGCTTTACAACCCTGTGCGTCACTCTTTAGTGTCCCCTGGTCCATAAGTTAATCTGTTCTAAATGCACCTTAGAGGGATATGTTTCAAGTTTGTAATACTCTTATCAACATATGAAAACGTTTCAAGCGTGGTCTGCCGCAAGCGATGCGGGGCTGTCGGCATCAGCTGTGTGCTTGGCTTGCTGTTTAAAACACCTTTTCTTGTTTCCATATCTCTCCGCTAGAATCGTTAGAAAAATACACATGCGTTGATCGCAACGTTAAAATATAATTAGTGGCGTTAAAAAATTGCGTTAAGGCGTTATTAACGATTTCCTGAATCGATGACGCCATAGGTAGCCCCGCCTCTCCCCACCTCTCCTGCTCACCCCGCGTCATTGCTGATGCGTTTCGCCAACAACAACAACAATGGCGGATCACAGGGTTGCGTTCGTGCTCCAGACGCTACTGACCATGCTACAGATGTTAGTGCAACATCTACAGTTTGTTTATTCCTTATGCCCCATTGCTCGGGGGTCTTCTTCGCTGCTGTTGGTGTATTTTGTGGCGGAAGTACAAGCGCCACCTACAGGCCCGGCAATATGTACTACAGCGTCTCCAGCGGTTTCGAGCGGGTTTCGTTTGGACGGACACATTTCTTGAGCCGATTCCGTGTGGACGGGAAACTTTTTTGAAATCGACTTCGGTTCGGAATCGGTTTCGTCTCCGAGTGGCAAAATGGCTAAACTAATAAATAAAGCTGTGGTTTGGCTCGTCCAGACTTCTAACATTTAAGTTAGTTTGAATTCAAATGTTAAATAAACATATCTTTGTAAACTCAATCGGCTTGGCGTTAGAAGTCTATGTTGCGGGTCCCAACGTGCCGTGGCAGTTAATATATATAATATATAAATGTAAGATTAGAGGGTCCTCACCTCCCCCTGCAGGCTGCTCCTCTCCTCTCTCCTTTCCTCCCTCGCCTCCTGCAGCTCGGCCTCTCTTGCTCGACAGCTTCTCCTGAAGGACCAGCAGTTGCTGCAAGAACAACGTTTAGATCTCTCACTAAATGCTGACTTTTTTTAAATATCTCAAAATTCTGACTTTTTTTTAAAATATTTCAAAATTCTGACTTTTTTTTAAAATATCTCAAAATTCTGACTTTTTTTTAAAATATTTCAAAATTCTGACTTTTTATTAAATATCCTCAAAATGCTGACGTTTTTTAAAAATATTTCAAAATTCTGACTTTTTTTAAATATCTCAACATTTCTGGCTTTTTCTTAAAAATCCTGACTTTTTCTTAAACATTTTGACTTTTTACTCAAAATCTCAAAATCCTGACTTTTCTCTCAACAACGTTTAGCCCTCTGGGTTCAGGAGTAAACGTAACACGAGTCATTGAAAAGCCACAGAAGGACGAGGGGGCGTACCTGCTGCATGGAGAGCATGTTCTGCTGCAGCAGCTGGATCTGAGCCTCAGCGCTGTGTGTGTGCGTGTGTGTGTGTGCAGGCGTGTGTGTGTGTGCAGGCGTGTGTTCGTTCCTCAGCAGCTCCACCTCGTTCCTGTAGGCGTCGAGCTGCCACCGCAGGGAGTCGTTCTCCTCCTTCAGCGAGGGGGGGTCACACACTCCTGCAGGGGGGAGGGGAGGTTATTCTTGTTTTAAGGCAATATGGGGACCTATGATAAACTACAGTAGCATCTGTGTGTCGCCAAAATAAGAGGCAACGAAGAGATGAGATGTCCTTTCCCAAAGTTCAAATGGTATTACAAAAACTAGATTTACGCTGTGGACTACTGAAGGGTATTAGACCGCTGTAGATTCAAACAACTTCATATATTATTAATACATAAAGGTCAAACAAATATAACAATATATATGTTTTTAAAACCAATTATTCACTATTTTCCTGGTTTGACACAAATATATATATATATTTATATCCCAGAATGTAGTCCCTTCTCTTTCATACTAAGACATCAGACATTTGAATGAATGGGTTAAAATTCCCAGTAAATGTAAGAAGAGAGGCGTAACCCAAACACCATGACCTGCACATGGAGGAAAGCACAGAGACATGTCTGAGGAAACACATCACTCTGAGGCCTCGTATAGAAACATTCAAGTGATCACATGATACCGTTGAGGTCGCTGCGCAGCCTCTTGCAGGGACTCTCCTCCGAGTCGTCCTCAGACATCTCCATCTCCTCCTCCCTCCGGATGCCCATGATCTCCTCGCTGTGAGCGCTCCTCAGCTCCTGCACCACCAGACAGTTATATATTAATATATATTATATACATCTCCTCGCTGTGAGCGCTCCTCAGCTCCTGCATCCAGACAGTTATATATTAATATATATTATATATACTGAGATCTCTTCATGCTTTCTTCCAGCAGACACAGCACGTCTCCAAACGTCCTCCTGTCTCTACATGAACGTCCTCTCTTCCTGTCTCTACGTTCACCTTGTCTTTCTTTGGAGGATCATTTGGTGTTAAAAAGCTGAATAGTTCATTCACAGTTTTTGGATTCTTCGTCACCGGGAAAGCATTCAGAAGTTTTCTTCAGGAACTCAAAGGAAACCCAGCTGAGTGTTTGCTGTTCTCCTGAAGCTGAGTGGTTCCTCTGGTTCTCCCACATCTATGTGTTGATACTTCCAGTTAGGCTTTTTTTAATCCTCAAATTGCTGATTCATTTTCCAAAATCTCAAAATTCAGATATTTTCCCCCAAATTCTTAATTTTTTACTCAAAATTCATATTTTTTTGTCCCAAAATACAGATTTTCCCCCAAAATTCTTAATACTTTCACAAATTCTGACCTTTTTGAACATCCACGTTTGTCTTCTGTCAGTGAGAGTTATTCTAAAGTGTGCTAATGATCTTCAGTCTGCAGTCTCATGTGTTCTGGTTCTTGTCGTAGCTGTTCATAGCAGAGCATCCACAGCACAAGACTCTACAGAGTTACAGATGTTACTGTGGTGTGTCCTTGAACAGAGGAAGCTGTAACACATCCCATCACCTCAGAGTTACAGATGTTACTGTGGTGTGTCCTCTAACAGAGGAAGCTGTAACACATCCCATCACCTCAGAGTTACAGATGTTACTGTGGTATGTCCTCGAACAGAGGAAGCTGTAACACATCCCATCACCTCAGAGTAGCTGACATGTCACATACAGTGCTATCCAACCATCATTTGGAGTCCCCTCTCTGCCCCTCTGAGATCAGACTCTAACCAGCTTCCCTCCTCCTGTTGGTCCTCGTTACCCAGATCTGACTCCTCATGAATAATCAATCACACACTCATCGCTGTTTCCATGGCAGCGCCTCACGCTGTCCAGGAAGAGGAGGCGAGGTCTGTAATACCATCAGTTTGTACTTTAAAGCGTCTCCACAGTTTGATACCAACCTCACACTGCTTGTGCCAAATGTCTATGTTCTTGCGCTGAGCTTTTGAGAAATGGTCCCATGCCTTTTGCCTCGTGGCGGCGGAGAAAACGCCTGTGATCTGCTCGACTTTGGGGTGAAGGAGGAGGAGGAGGAGGAGAAGGAGGAGGAGGAAGAGGGAGAGGAAGAGGAGGAAGAAGAGGAAGAGGAGGAGGAGGAGGAGAAAACAGGGCGTTTATGTAGCGTTGTAGCACTGACTGAGGCTCACACAGCAGAGGAGACGCACTGACCTCAGGGTTAAAGGGGCCGATCACTCCTTCATTTAAATCCTGTCTAATTCAGTAAAGTTCATGCTACGGATGTGATGTGGGTCTTTTAATAGTGATCTGATCTTATATTTATTAAATAGAGCTTACTAAATGTGAGTTGTTGAATGTTTCTGCTCACAACTATGTCAATATTCAAGGGTTTTATTTTTCATTATGCAAAACATCTACTCTAGTTTTACCTTTAAGAGTCTAAGGTCTAACTCTAGCAATGCAACATACTATACTTAAAGGTCCCCTATTATCATATTATTGATACCAGCAGAATTGTAGTACTTAAAGTGGACCTATCATGCTATATTTGAATAATATAGTGTAGGACCATACCTATATAAGGCATATTTATACTTTATTTTTTTCAAAATACCAAACAGATCATGCATTTTAGCCATGCCTCATTTTGCTCAATTTGACAATTTCTAGCTTTGGATTAGCAAGGGCTGATTCAGTGAGAACAGCACCATCTACAGGCCTGGCATATGTACTACAGCGTCTCCAGCGCTTTCGAACGGCAATGGCCGTGGCTGTCTCCTCCTGATTGGTGGAGTTGGCCCAATAGCCGTAGCGCCACCGTCCTGACGTCAGGACAGTGTTCAAATCTGGATCAGTTTTTGATCAGATCCGTTGCAGCCCCTTTTTTTAGAGATTTGGGTATGGAGGAAAATAGAGAGGGTTGTGTTTTCTGACACTTGGTGAGTTCCCTGGAACACCGGGGACACATATTCATGTAGAAAAGACGTACACAAGTGCATTTTGCATGATAGGTCCCCTTTAATATATAATATATATATATATAATAAGAGGGTGACGGTGTGTCTCTACTGCTGTGTGTACTTACATCCCCTGCAGCTGCACCTCAGGACTCACAGGCAGCATCAACGCACAATACATGCTCATATTTCACTTTATTATATCACATATTAAAGGGTAGGTTAATGTAGTAAAGTACACGCTTCGCTTCCTGTCCGAAAGCGTCAGAATAAAACTTTAACAAAGCATTTATTCTGACGTTGATGCTGCCTTTTTTTATATTTCTGACTTTTCTTTTACATTTCCATCAAAAGTTAAATCCATTTCATTTTTCTGCAGACTTTCTGATCATCACAGAAACACCCTGAACTACTCACCTCTGAAACAACAATATGCATGATGAAGATGAAGAGGATGATGAAGAGGATGATGATGATGAAGAGGATGATGATGATGAAGAGGATGATGATGATGATGATGAAGATGATGATGATGAAGATGATGATCGGCAGTAATAAAAAAAATAAAACAGATATTGTTGTATGCACACAATGTACAATTTCTGTTTTCTTTTTTTATTACAGCCGATTTTTATTCCATATTTTATTCCATTCCATTTCTATGTTAACACTGATATATTTTACTATATTTTTTTATCATTTTTTATATTTTTATAGTTCTCTATCTGTGTTCTAAATGTGTAGTTTTACTTTCATGTATGCACCACGACACCAAGTCAAATTCCTCGTTCCAGGGAATATAAAGCCTAAATAGAGCGGTTTCAGCAGAGCTTCAGATGAGCAGCTGATGCGAGACGATGGACGGGGGGGGGAAGGAGGGTTGTCATGGAGACTGAGACCCTCGACTTGCATGGAGGAAAGAAGCTTTAAAATGGACGAGAGGTGAGAGAGCGGCTTCACGGTCTGAAGCTCCAACATCTGAGCGGGTCACGAGTTTTAAAGGTCCCCTATTATGCTGTTTCTCATCAATATATCACAGGTCTCAGATATATCCAGAGCCTGTCTCTGATTGGCTGAAACACCAAACAGATCATCGCGCATTACCCATAATCCCCTCTGTTTCAGCCCTGTTTCCAAAGTGCTGATTCTCTGTCTGTTACTTCAGATGAAAATAAGGAGCCCCTCCCCACGCCCCTCTGAGAGAGATTTGGTTACAAAGAACTCAATGGTGCTCTAGGAGGAGATTCAGGTGATAAGGGGGGGGGGGTTACCTTGGTTGCTGATTGGCTAATGGTTACACAAGACAAAACATCGTTATGACATCATCAAGTGGCCAAAATCTGATCAGCTCATTTTCAGACAGGTTTTTATAGAAATGGATCAAAAAGAGAGAGAATCTTTGTTCCATGTTGATGTAGAAGAGACATGAAGAAGAGGGGACACATGTTGATGTAGAAGAGACATGAAGAAGAGGGGACACATGTTGATGAAGAAGAGACATGAAGAAGAGGGGACACATGTTGATGTAGAAGAGACATGAAGAAGAGGAGACACATGGTGATGAAGAAGAGACATGAAGAAGAGGGGACACATGTTGATGGAGAAGAGACATGAAGAAGAGGGGACACATGGTGATGAAGAAGAGACATTAAATGGACATGATACGATACGTCATCCTAAAGAGGCCCACTTTGGGAACCCATGTTGTTCACGCCTTGTTCTGATGTACCTCCTGAGGATGATGAGTCTTTATGAACCTGCAGTGAGAGGAACTCACCTGATGGTCTCTCAGTGAAGACGTCCCAGTCGTCGGCCTGACTTCCTGCTGGTTATAGATAATAAAGAGTGCTTACACTGGTTGAGGGTGGCCAGCAGGGCGCTCTTGAACGCCTCCTTGGCGCGCTCCATCTCCTCCTCGTGCTGAGCCTTCTCGCTCATCAGCCGGCGCACGTGGCTGTTGGCCGACTGGATCATGGAGTAGAAGTTGTTGGCGGTGCGGCGGTTCACCTCTCCGCGGTCGATCCAGGTGAAGAGCACCGCCGTGGCCTCGCCGAAGGTCTGGTCGTCTGCTGGGAGGATTCAAAAGATTCAAAGGTTTTATCATCATATGCTCAGCAGCTACAGTGTAGAAATGGCAATGAAATTCTTCTGAGCTGAGCTCCTCCAACAATGCAACATAAATAATAAAATACAAAAAGTCTATTTACATGTAAATTAGGCAATTGGAGGATGAAACCCTCTTTCATGGTCACACATGCACACAGCACACACACTGAAGTGTGTTCTCTGCTTTTAACCCATCATAGTACTAGGAGCAGTGGGTAAATAGAATATGATATAAAATAATGTACATTTAGACTAAATGAAATACGGTTTATTGCGTTGATAACTATTTATTTAATAAGTAGATTGCAAGATGACAGTGTCGGTAATCAGGAACAGATTTACAGTTCTTCAACAATCACTCTGCAGATCCAGCTTTCACAATAAGAGTTTCATGTTCTCTGAATACCCCAAACTAGGCACACTTAAAACCCCAAAATATAACCAACTATACCCCAAACTATACCACAAACCATACCCCAAACTATACCCCAAACTATACCACAAACTATACCCCAAACTATACCCCAAACTAAGCAAACTTAAAACCCCAAATATAACCAACTATACCCCAAACTATACCCCAAACTATACCCCAAACTATACCCCAAACTATACCCCAAACTATACCCCAAACTATACCCCAAACTATACCACAAACCATGCCCCAAACTATACCCCAAACTATACCCAAACTATACCACAAACCATACCCCAAACTATACCCCAAACTATACCCCAAACTATACCACAAAACATACCCCAAACTATACCCCAAACTATACCCCAAACTAAGCAAACTTAAAACCCCAAATATAACCAACTATACCACAAACTATACCCCAAACTATACCCCAAACTAAGCACACTTAAAACTCCAAAATATACCACAAACTATACCACAAACCATACCCCAAACTAAGCACACTTAAAACTCCAAAATATACCACAAACTATACCACAAACCATACCCCAAACTATACCCCAAACTATACCATAAACCATACCCCAAACTATACCCCAAACTATACCCCAAACTAAGCAAACTTAAAACCGCAAATATAACCAACTATACCCCAAACTATACCCCAAACTATACCACAAACTATACACCAAACTAGGCAAACTTAAAACCCCAAAATATAACCAACTATACCCCAAAAAATACCACAAACCATACCCCAAACTATACCCCAAACTATACCCCAAACTATACCACAAACTAAGCAAACTTAAAACCCCAAATATAACCAACTATACCCCAAACTATACCCCAAACTATACCCCAAACTATACCCCAAACCATACCCCAAACTATACCCAAACTATACCCCAAACTATACCCAAACCATACCCCAAACTATACCCAAACTATACCCCAAACTATACCACAACCATACCCCAAACTATACCCCAAACTATACCCCAAACTATACCACAAACCATACCCCAAACTATACCCCAAACTATACCCCAAACTATACCATAAACCATACCCCAAACTATACCACAAACTATACCATAAACCATACCCCAAACTATACCCCAAAATATACCCCAAACTATACCATAAACCATACCCCAAACTATACCCACATACCCAAACTATACCATAAACCATACCCCAAACTATACCACAAACTATACCATAAACCATACCCCAAACTAAGCACACTTAAAACTCCAAAATATACCACAAACTATACCACAAACCATACCCCAAACTATACCCCAAACTATACCCCAAACTATACCACAAACCATACCCCAAACTATACCCCAAACTATACCATAAACCATACCCCAAACTATACCACAAACTAAACCATACCATACCCCAACTATACCCCAAACTATACCCCAAACTATACCATAAACCATACCCCAAACTATACCCCAAACTATACCCCAAACTATACCATAAACCATACCCCAAACTATACCACAAACTATACCCCAAACTATACCCCAAACTATACCACAAACTATACCCCAAACTATACCCCAAACTATACCATAAACCATACCCCAAACTATACCACAAACTATACCATAAACCATACCCCAAACTATACCCCAAACTATACCCCAAACTATACCCCAAACTATACCACAAACCATACCCCAAACTATACCCCAAACTATACCACAAACCATACCCCAAACTATACCACAAACCATAACCGAAACTATACCCCAAACTATACCCCAAACTAAGCAAACTTAAAACCCCAAAATATAACCAACTATACCCCAAACTATACCCCAAACTATACCCCAACCTAAGCTAACATAAAACCCCAAACTATACCCCAAACTATACCCCAAACTATACCCCAAACTATACCCCAAACTATACCCCAACCTAAGCTAACTTAAAACCCCAAACTATACCCCAAACTATACCCCAACCTAAGCTAACTTAAAACCCCAAACTATACCCCAAACTATACCCCAAACTAAACCCCAAACTATACCCCAAACTATACCCCAAACTATACCCCAACCTAAGCTAACTTAAAACCCCAAAATATAACCAACTCTAACCAATAATACCCCCAAACTAAACAGACGATTACACCAGACTATATCCAGATAAACTAAATGTAATCTTACTGCATGAAAGGAACACACTGATTTACTTGTACTGCGGATACTCTGCTTGTAATGGAGTATTTCTCCATCCATCAGAAGAGAGAACTGCTTCCTGTCTCACGGCCCATCGCAGCTAACGGGGGGTGCAGATCACAGGAAGTCGTTTCACGGGACCTTTAGCGTTCAGTGGGGCTAATCCAACAACAGAAGCTGCTGAGGACTGAGACGTGGAGAAATATCCAGAAATCTCTCTCTGGGGGCGCTCTCTGTTCACGGCTGTGAGCACAAACTGCATTTCTGATTTCCACTTTCTACCCAGCCCTGCTCTCAGAGTCTCTGAGCGCTCTGAGCAGCGCTTTCTAACCCATTTGAATAATAATGTGAGTGCAGAACAGAGTGAATTAGAGAGCGTTTAATGAGCTCAATACCCGGCGCAACACAACCGGTAAGAAGAGTCTTCCTCTGCTGATAAAGCTCCATTCAGGCTCTGCAGCAGATTACAGTCACATTACAGCGAGCACAATGAGCCGCCGTGTGAGGGGGGGGGGGGGGGGTTCATAAAGGGTTCTTCAGAGCAAAAACATAGCTGTTTATGTTGGGTATTAGGGGACGGATGGGCGGAGGTTAGGGAGCTAAACTGGGGATTCAGGAGCACATATTAACAAAGCAGAGCGCTGCTTTCTATCAGAAGAAATACTGTCTAACTGCTGGAGGTGGAGAATTATAATATTACATCTTTATTATTCCTGTGGTGCTAACAGATGCTCATGCTCCATGAACCACAAGCTTTTACATCATACACTGGAAAAAATGCTGCTTCAAAATCAAGGGAAAGAATAAGGAAAACAAGGTGTAATAAGTACAAATATCTGCCAATATATTTCCAACATTTGCTTGGAAAGATTTCTAGAAATAAGAAGGGATATTTAGATAAAGGAGATCTTGGGATTAGCTGGAGAACTTATTTTGAACTTTATCTTACCAGAATCAGGAAACGTTGTGTTACAAAATAAGCCTGAAATATTCAAAGGTTTTCAGTTTTCTGATGTTAGTAAGATTTATTTGGTAAAACAAGATGAACCACATTTTACAAAAACCACAGCAGCTTAAAAAACTTGTTTGATTTGAGATACAAAATAAGATGTTTTCAAAAGTCTTGAAGAAGCATTGTCTAAAAAGAAGACCCTATGTCTCACTGCATTGTTACCTCTTCAGTTATTAGGTCTTAAATCGAGTGTAAAGACACATTCTGACTAGAAATGAGACGAATATACTTGGCAAGATTTTGAGTTTTTACAGTGAACTCAATCACACACGGGTAAAAGCTTGAGTTACTTCATCCTAACAGGAAGCTCAGGGAGAGGCGTGTCTTTCAAAATGAAGTCCCATAGAGTTCAGTATGTGACATGTTGTCAGTGTGAGATAGGCTGCTGTACATGTGGGCGGGGTTTAACAATAAAGAAGGGACTATTTTGTGTCTGGATGTTCTCCAATATGCATTCAACCATATGGATTTAATCTAGAAGCAGCGTAACGCTAACAGAGCTTTATATTCTCACAGTGAGGATAGTGTGCTGGAAGTGAAGGAGATTAGACACTTTCTACTGTAACTACAGGAGGAGGAGAGGAGGAGGGAGAGGAGGGAGAGGAGGAGGGAGAGGGGAGAGGAGGGAGAGGAGGGAGAGGAGGGAGAGGAGGGAGAGGAGGGAGCGTGACCTTCAGAGTCTCCTCTACAACAGCCCTTATCTCTCACTGCACTCCTCTCTCTCCAGTCTCTCCTTTAATGACATTTCAATCACATTTAAATGTCATTTTATAACGTGTGTTTTTGGTCCTAGATTTTTTTTGTAAAGCTATTTTCTGTGATCCCGTTTCAAGGAAGAAGGTGCTGCATACATATAATACTATTTGATAATATAATGCTTATAACATATATATAATATAATATGGAGTTATAGCCTCCTTACAGGGAGCAGTACTTGTGTATTATTATATATCATTTATATTCCAGTTGGCTGCAGGAGGTGAAATGTATTTATATAAAAAGCATTCAAACAAACTAATAACTGTTTGAATCAGTTTCTGTGACTTTTAGCATAATATGATCTTCCTGCTTGTTCAGGTGATCCAGCTCGACTCGTTGTACATCATCAGGTTTCTAACGTTTAACTGAGTTTCTCCACGGCTGCATGTGAACAGGAATAATGATAATGTTCAATAACATTTAACCAGGTGAGCAGGAATAATGCATCTTTTGCAATAAGGTCAAAATACTTGAATAATGTGTGAATTTAAACATCGAGACATGTTTCTGCTCTCTCCTGATTTACCCTCTCACTGTAATGAGACACACACACACACACACACACACACACACACACACACACACACACACACACACACACATACACCACACACACCACACACACACACACACCACACAACACCACACACACACACACAGCACCACACACACACACACCACACACACACACACACACACACACACACACACACACACACACACACACACACACGTCAGAACATCACTTCCTCTCTGCAGGAGACAGAGGTTTGTTCATGAAGAATATCAATAACTCCTCTCTCTGAGCTCCACCTGTGATTAGCTCTCACAGCGGGGGGGCAGCGGGAGATTATACACACACACACACACACACACACACACACACACACACACACACACACACACACACACACACACACACCACACACCACACCACACACACACACACACACACACACACACACACACACACACACACACATCACCACACACACACACAACACACACACACACACACACACACACACCACACACACACACACACACACACCACACCACACACACACACACACACACACACACACACACACACAATAACAATCACATTTGTTAACAGCGACCTCTAAATCTGCTCTTAGATGATTTTAGAACATATCGGATCAAAAGTGATTGCTTTTTTATTTCTCCATCACTGTATCCATGGCTACAGCTGCAGACTCCTCCTGCAGGAGCGTCAGAGGACGAGTTATTGGAAAAGAGGCTTTTATTTGACAGTCTACTGTCATATATAACTGTTCAAAGCCTGCCACTGCTCTAGAGGTCTAATGCGCACCCACTGCCCTGAGAGCAAGGGTTTAGCTTCAGAGTTAGCATGCTTCTTTCACTTCTCTTTACCCCAAACTATAACTAAGAAAACACTGTAGTGGTTTAACCGGAATGGAAATGGGCAGAGAGAGAGACAGTTTAATACAATTAAAGGGATAAAAGAAGCTAGAGAATGAGCATTAAAGGTCCCATGTCATGCTTTTCTGGTTCTTACCCGTCCCCTTGTGTTCTGTAGCTTCTGCATGTAAACGGTCTGCAGAGTCACTAACCCTCAAAGTACACCCTGTAGCCAGTAAAACTCTAACACAGAGCAGACCTGTCTGTGCTGCCCCAGAACGCCTCGTTGGACATTTCTCTTTTTCTTCCTGGGTACAGTGACGTGCCATACCCAAATGGACCAATCCGTGGAGCCGTTAGGTTCCTCACACAAACACTCAATCTTTCCTCAGCTGCAGCTCCGCCCATTTCTCCTCCCTGAGACGACGGGACGCGGCGAGGCTGTGAGTCGGTGTGTGAGCACACACACAACAAAGCAAAAGTACACACATCCTTTACTCAAGTAGAAGTACAGATACTCGTGTTTAAAAATACTCTGGTGAAAGTAGAAGTACTGACTAAACTTCTTAACTCAAGTCAAAGTAAAGAGGCTTTGAAATGTACTTCAGTAAAAAGTACCCATAACTAGCAGCTGTTTTAAAGAGTACCTGACCTCCCTTTATATTAATAGAACAATAATGTCATTGTTAGCTAATGAATGTTTCCATGCTGAACAACGGCAACATGACAACGTTTTCATTGGTCCCTCTTCTTTAGAGAAGACCAGGAAATGATGGATACACGGATCGTGTTCAAATCAATAGGCACGCAATGACTCTAAATAATAATGATCACGCCACCAAACACACATTCAAACTAAAGGAACCAGCCTGTTTGGGAAATGTGTAAGAAGTCAAAGTAGAAAGTGGTCAGAAAAATAAGTAGTGGAGTAAAGTACTGATACCAGAAACATGTACTTAAGTACAGTAACAAAGTATTTGTACTTCACTACTTCCCACCTCTGCCCGTCCTCACCTTTCAGTCTCTCTGCCAACATGGCCGCCTCATGTTCGGAGAAGTGCACTATGGGAGGAGGAGAGGGGGGGAGGAGTCTGTCCTCGTGGACGAATCGAAGGTGTCGCTGCTCACGGGCCAGGAGGCGCTGCTGACACTCCCACTCATACAGATCGTCCCGCGCCTGAGCGAAGTCCACATGGATCCTCCCTGAGTCCTTCTTCTCCGTGCTGGACCCGATACGCATCCGGTACCCTGAGGGGACATATAGGGTTCAACATCTGTACCCTGAGGGGAGATATAGGGTTCAAACATCTGTACCCTGAGGGGAGATATAGGGTTCAACATCTGTACCTGAGGGGAATATAGGGTTCAACATCTGTACCCTGAGGGGACATATAGGGTTCACATCTGTACCTGAGGGGACATATAGGGTTCAACATCTGTACCTGAGGGGAGATATAGGGTTCAACATCTGTACCTCTGAGGGGACATAGAGGGTTCAACATCTGTACTGAGGGGACATATAGGGTTCAAAACATCCTG